GACAAGAATTTGCAGAATTTTTTTTTTTGTGTGTGGCAAAATAACAATCAGGTCATTTAGAGCAAAAAATAGTCTTTTGGAAATAACTTGGTCATTTTTTATTTTTTTGAAAATCTGTTACATCATTCTGTAGAAAGCATAATTCTAACAATTCTATGGTGCTACTTTGTGGATTTCGGCTCTGTGGTTGAACGAGTTTCCTTGTCATAGTTTTGTGTCTGATTTAGGCAGTTCAGGGTAGATCACGTGCGTCACGCAGCTAGTTGAGTTTATGTTTCGTCTACCTTATTTCTGTGTGTAAACAGCACTACAATACATTTTCTTAGCTCAGTAATATCAAGCATTTGTTTTGAAAGATGATAGTGTACTTTTATGAGCTATTTTAATGTAAAGTATCTTGTTATATTTGGCACAGTGTATACGCTGTATACGCTGTATACGGAAGTAGTGTATCATATATGGGTCCTGCTGACCCAGTTTACGCCTGTAATTATACGCGCGTATGCGTATACGTGGGAAATTTTACGCGCGTAAGCGTATACGCTACGCGCGGAGCACTAGTGCACAGGAGAGAGTGATGAAAGTAAATGACACTCTCAGAATGACAACCTTCCTTACCTGTAAGTTACATGTAATTTGATATTTAGAGAGCTACAATTTGTCTTGCCAAGAGGTCTTTCAATGTGCAGGCGCAACAATAGATCACCGAGTGATGCTCCGTGTATAGCATAATCGCACTGCTGTCCGCTAATTCGATGGTCCGAGCGACTCGTCGCTGCCCGTGCACAGCCGACAGGTTTCAGCTACAGGCTTGTTGCGGGGTTTACAAATGCAGAATGCACAATCCCGAGATCGTGAATGAACACCACACTGCCAGTGCTTAAAGATCATTAGTGACAGATGGGAAGATGTCAGCATGGTCTTTTTTAGATACCCAACTGCCCCAAATAAGAAAATACTTGCCGCCCACAGGACCTCTACCTATATCTCATTGCGAAAAAAGAAATTCTGATGAAACCGTGCTAGTACAATAGTGAATATCATTTGTGTTTATTCCCGGCATAAGGGAGCGCAGCTTGTGTATCTTTCACCAATATAACATTTGTGCACATGTGGGGACCATACATGTACTTGGAGTAAAGCATACTGTGAAATTTAGGTCCAAGTGCCTTTGCTAAGTTTTAATCTATTCTCTTGACGCAAAGAGTTGGCCTTATTCTTGATGTCGGATTATTGTTTGTGACAGTGGATTGGGAACAGTTGGTTGATACGTAGAGTCAAATATTATTTCAAGACCGGTATGCGTGGATGTATAAGTTACATATTGACTTCGTCGAAGTTCACTTCGATACTAAGTATCTACGCATACAGCTACAAATTACAATACTCGATTAAGCAGCAGAGATGCCCTGGAGGGTCCACATGAACTTCTCGGAGGTCGCTGCAGTGTCATTAAGGAAGCATATCAGTGCAATGAAGAAAAGGATTAGTACGCATATGTGCTTACGCTGTCCGCCAGCGCCAATGCAGTGGTCGCCATTGCAGAAGGAAGCTTGGTTACCGTTAAGACTGACGGTGACGAGAGCATCGAAATGGTCCTGAGCAAAGTCGGCATGGAACTCATTGGCCCCGCTGTCGTATCCGACTGCGTGGTCCTCATGTGCCTGGCTGATGAGGATTCCTCCAGTGCCGGTAGGGAAGCGGAAGCGTTCGCCTTTATCGTGGTTTGCATCAACTGCTGCAACGCTAAATTATATTGTTAGTCCACTTATGTTCATAATGAAGTCTTCAAAAACAGACCTGGTATCGGCTGTAGTTTCTATCTTCGCGTTGTTCGAGTCAAGGAACTGGAAGCCGCCGTTGTTAACAAAGACCGCGTTCCACTGAAAAGTGCAGTCAAGTTAGACATGATGAGGCCACGGAGAAAAACATGTCGATAAAGACGCGAACGTACCTCCTGCGCCTGAACAGCGGAGAAGAGGCAAGCAGCCGCGACAGTAGCAACAGAGAGTACGTTGAAGCGCATCGTTATTAAGTAGCTTGGTTCGAGTGTCGTAAAGAAGGTTGTATAAGAGTAGGAGGCTCAGAGCTGGGTAGCTGCTGAACACCTTCAGAAACACGCCTACTTTTATACCTTCAGGTAGGCCGGAAATGTCAGCCCAAATTTCGTCAGTGAGGTGTCGGCCCGACACGCAGACACAGCAAACTTCTAGCGAGAGGTCTGCATATGAGGATACTGCGATTGTAAATGTTTCGGGGTGGGCAGCATGACATCCCCTGTTTGACAGGAGTGGAGCCAGCATTGTTGAATTCCCAGTTCCTGGTGAACGCTCATTTCTTCGACCGAGTGCCGCTCGGAGGTGGAAATCACTACGATGCTGATGCACGCTTCCTGAGAGCACTGGATACTCCAGGAACAATAACGATTATTCTAGTATTCCTAGCACCATTTCCATTGAATTCACTCACAATAGATATCGCGTTTAACACTTAGGGCACCTTAATCGAGCATATTCAGATTGTCGCCATGCACCAGCATCAAACTGCTTAGCAACACCGATTCGCAAGTCTAAGTACAATTTGAAGACACAATTAAGTGCTGGATTGAAGGTAGAGCGCCTCGGATTGTATTAGCGAGAGCTTAATGAGCCATAGGTCCCATTCGATTAAGCAATGGTGAGTAGAGAGTAGTGTTCTCATTAGATTTTCAAGTCATATGTAGGTTTGGTGATGGCAAATACAACGAACGACTGCCTCTTCCCGTCTCTAAAGCTCCCGACCGTAAACGAGGCTGAATACTGCCTCCCGAATCTGTTATAATCCAATAGTATCGGACAGATCTGTGCATTTACTCAGCAATTACCAAAGACAAAAGCCTCGTGAACGAAGGTTAGCTGCGGAAGATCCTAGGCGATCTCAGTTAAGCACAGGGTTGTTGATACAGTAGAACATATGACGAAGGTCAGCCTTCCTGGATGTTTCAGGAATACAAGTCGATTCACTAGAAATCACGGGCTCCACAAGATGCTGATGCGCAAAGTGATAAATTCGAATAGCTTCAGAATCTCATCAGCACCACATAATGCTAGGAAGGAACAGATCCATGAGCGAGGCGCTGAAATTGCCCCTGCAAAGGGTAGGTAGGGTACGCTAACGGATTTCATGGTGCGTAATAATGAGGTTCCCGCAGTAGCCGAACGTTTGAAATCGTGAGAACTAGTGATGTCGGCGTATTGTTATAAGCCAATGCAATGAAAATTGCGACAACATGACACCGGACGACATCATTCGTTGTCTGCGCCGCGCCCCATCCACTCCCCATGTTTTCCGCAGAGCAAATGACGTTTGCAGCCACCTTCTAGTTGATTTTTGAACCTGAACAAAAGGTAGGCACGGGATTCGGCAGGCCAAATCCAGTTTGAACAGCTTGATTCCGAGTGAATGGAAATTTTATGGAAGATTCCCTCAACTGTCCGGATAAGTAGCGTTGCCGGTTTGCGTGAGTTGCGGGAGGTGGTTTACGAGTTGACGTCGAGACTAAAGAGGAGCAAGCGATTTTACTCCCACCACACATCATGACACGACGATCACGAATGCTCGGCTCGTGATATTAGACAAAAACATAGTAGCCAGAAGCAGACCAAGATAGTTCTTAGCTTCCGTCGACTTGCAGTGTTATAATTCATACCTGTCAAGACTTCTTGCTTTTTTCCTCACTGTAGACAAACTCAAGCACCGACCACAAATACTCAAACAGGCACGTAATGACGTTTACTATAACATTCTAATTTCCTTTGTTGTAATTGTAAAGCACTTCGCCTTGTCGGGACTTGGAGTAGTCGCCAAGGTCTGCTGTATGTCCCACGAGATTGGCAACATCTAAGGCAGATTCGAAGCAACCTGAAATACTGTACAGTTTAGACCCCATTTCTTCTAAGGGTACACGGACTGGACTCAAGTTAGCTTCACTATTGTATATGTGAATGGGAGGCATTTCAGTGTAAGAGCATTAATCAACGCATTCTTTAGAAGTTTAGAGTATACCTATTCTTCCTCTGTGTACAATAAACTCTATATTCTTATATAATATCTACTATCCTCCATACTCCTGTTCAAGTAGTATAATTTTTGGTTTATCTTTCACCATTGAAAGCTGTGTTTCGAAGTCTCTAAGGTCTTCTTGACCAAATCCTTGAGACTTCAAGTCCTTTATAAATGCTACCATCCCAGATTCATATAAAGCCCTTGCTTCCCTATTTAGGTCGTTTGCGTCTTGCCAAGCCCTGTCGAATTCTTTAAAGGGATTAATTTGCTTGATTTGTTTGTATTTTTCACGTATATGATTCCATTTCCTGTCTGGTAGATCAGTGCTGTCTGCCATGTATATTAGAAAACTGATGCCATTCATGACATGTTGTAGCTGTTTCCTTTCTAACTCGTCTGGTGGCCTTATGCGGGATGATCTCTTCTGATTCCAGGACCGGAATTTTTGAAGGTCACCTATATCATCTGCCATCCGAGGCTTGCGAGTTAACGTGCTTCTGTGGGCTGGAAATATAAAATAAGACTACCCTCTGGGCAAAGGAGCTCCTGCACATACTTATATAAACAGGAAGCATTATTTTGCAGGGCAGGAAATTTTGCAAACGGGATTAGTAAGCACTTGCATCCTCCTAATAGTAACTATCAGGTTTGCATTTGCTAAGAAAAGAAAAACTGTAGCTGAAAAGGAGAAGAAAAGTGATGCATACCTCCCAGTAAGAGAGATTCATATTTGTATTTGACAGAATGAGGAATCTTTGCACCTTGATCATAATTATTGCAATAATTACAAGTGCTTTGCTCCAATTCAATCTTGAACATGTCAGCAACAGTGTAGAAGGAACCTGAAGGCTCAGTGAGGGGACCCAGGCTACAACTATCCTACACAACAGAAATACAGAATGCAAGCACTGGAACATAGTCAGAACTTGTAGAACAGGCAGAGAGAGAGAGTGAGACAAGAGTAGAGTATATAGAGTGAGCCTAAGAGTACAGGACTACCTAGAGTAGACAAGATCAAGACTACAGGACCAGTCTGATCTTGTATGCCTATATATACTAAACTACACAAGAGCACTCAGGGAGCATGAGCCACTAAGAATGATAAGCCACAAAGAATGAAAGAAAGGAATGTCAAAGATAAAGGTACAAAGAATGAAGGGATGGACAAAGGGTAAGAGACCATAGAATGAACAAAGAATGAAGGGGTGGTCAAAGGAATGGAATGATGAAGTAAGGAAGGGTAGTAGTAAGAGTCAGCACACATATAGTCCATAGACAGTGCCCCCAAGGGACAGAAGTCCTGAGTTCTGGTACAGAAGGGTGCAGAACCCTCAGAACTGAAGGTATGAGAGCAGAGAATTGTAACAGAACATGAAGGGCAGGTGATAATATTTTAGCACAATAATGGCATTATGTACATTGACTACAGTACATTCAGTTGTAGCAAATGATGTGTGCTCAAGTCGAATGGCCTGACTACTCCATCAGAAAATCTTTTCTGGAGCAAATGCACTCACTGTTCTTGATTCTCTTTCAAATTATTCAGTGTATCCTTCTTTTTATTACAGAATCCACCAGGTCTGACACAACAGCTATTACTTTGAGTAACAAACTCAGAAGGAAAACATTCACACACGTGGGGTGTTAGTCACTGTGTTACATCCAAATTAAATAATTCCATAAAGTTTTCTCTCAGATATTAGGCATCTTCAATTCATTGGCAGGAGCACTTGCAAGACAGTACAAAGATTTTGGGGTGTCTTGGCAAAGTAGTATGTACCTTAAATATTACTAAAAGTGGATGCAATTCCTGCAAGTGTCTGCAAGTGCTCAAACCCACTTGTTGGCACTTGCAGATGCTTTGGAGTTTGAAATGAAGTTGATGTTTGACAACAACCTAACAAAAATTACAAGTAACGTGACATAGACTGTAAATTGTCGATCTCTGCAAGTCCTCACTTCAATTTTGAGGGACTTGTGCTGTACACGGTTCGGATGCTGATCTCTTTCTGCAACTCCCTCTGCCAATGAATTGAAGACACCTATTGTGTATATCAACTTCACAAGGAAAAGACAAGCGCAACAATCATGACATCCGAGCCTCGATTAATAATATTAGTTATTAACACGAGCATCAGTAGACCTTCGAGGTGCTCAGACAACAAGACAGAGAATAACTCTAGCTTTCAGTAGTACACAATAGCCCATCTCAATTCTCTTGCGAGTTGTGAGTTGTGCACGGCATGTAAGAAATATGCCAAAAATGCCGAAGTGCCAAGATGAAAATCGGGTGGTTAAGATGGGGATCGGGTTGCATGCTTGCCTAAAGTAGTAGTCAAACGCACAACAACTCACAAGCACTCTGGAGTGCTTGTGAGTTGTCGGACTTTGAAATTAAATGATGTTTCTTGTATCCCTTACTTGTTTGTCCACTCAAATCACAAGAAATCTGATCAACACAAAATTCACAACTCAATCATCTCAATTCTTCCTAGTTGTGAGGAAACTCGGCATCAACCTTACCAGGGTCCTCTACAAAGCTGAGCTTCCTTGCAACTTGCAACTCGCAACAGAATTGAGATGGGCTAATGAAGCATAACACTAAAGCTGATGCCAAGCCTTGATGCCTAGACCCCCATGAAGGCAGCATAAAACGTAAGTCAGTCCAGCTTACGTCGGTCGTCGAGATCTCCGAAGTCATTTAGCACCCCGTGTTTTGTTCCGGGATTTCATCTGCAAGCATCAACCTGCGGAGAACAGGGACAATGGTTCCCCGTCTGGCCATGCACACAGTCCATTCAATACAAAACGGCTAATACCCAGGTAAATGGAAGTGACAGAATAACAGTACAAATTTCATCGTTTGTTGCGCCCACCAATTTGCCGAGTAAGAACAAGATCCTCCCGAGCTGGCAAAGGCGTTGGAAGTGTCGCCGCCGTGGACTGCAAATGCCGAGTTCAGGTACAAGTGAGGCTGACCCATAATGGAAGATACAGCAAGACGTCGTGAGCCCAATGCACGAATAACAAAAACCTTGTAGACAGCATCAAACATTGTCGAGGACATGCAAGAATCGATGCACTTCAAGGAGAACAATGCACAGCATCCATTTGCAGGCGCGATAAAACCAGGCCACAAGGCTCGTTAAGAACGGGAAGGAGAATCTGATGTGCGAAAATTCTACGAAGAGGCGTTGGACAATTGATACTTAGACTCGGTACTCTACAAAGCTGGTATGGAACTGATGCTGAAGGAATTCGTTGAGTTCGAATTAATCGTGCACGTTTAGCCACTGCAGCTGACTGCCCTAGCTGAAATCCTGTATACGAAAAAAGAGCGCCGAACCGAAGGTCCCGCAGCCGCAGTGATTGATTTTCGATTATCCACATAAATTGTGCCAAGATGGTAAGAAAACGGACGTCGGAGATATGAAATAGAGACTGAGCAGGAGTCCGAATATGAGGACATAGCACTTTGTCTACATCAAATTTGCTTATTCGGTTATACTATCATTTGCAATAGTCCAGACGTTTAGGAAAAGGTGCAAACTTACCTTGAATAGTATTACAATGCGGATATTCTAATTGGTTTTCATGCTTGGTCAATCTTGGATCCGGCCTTCGTGTTCGCACACAGAATTCTCCAAAAAGCCCTTCCAATAATTCCGGTTCCCTCGTGAGCCCTTTTCGAACGGTCACGGCCCTCCCGTACAACGTCAGCGTTCATCGCGCCATTCTGCTCTCGCACATCGATAATAGCATCGACAATGTCGGAAGTGAATTCTGGGTGGCCTTGGACGGTTAAGATATGAACATCTTCTGGGCGTAGTCCGGGTACTAAAGAGCTATTTGGATATAGTCGTACGAGGCCTTGAACAGGGCTGACGGCAGTGGAACCGAGCAAGTGGAAGGAAGGCATGACTGCCGGGACGTGATCGCGGTGCATTTGTTGAATAGGCTGTATAAGCGAGGTAAGTTAGATTTACCTTTGTGAGCACCAAAAGGATAGAAGACTTACAAGCATTGATCTATCTGTGTTAAAGACGGCTTTCCCAATATCCGTCAACTCCATGTCCGTTGTTCCGACTTCCCATCGTCCATCATTCGGCACACATTCTCCACCTAGCGCTCTGGCAACAATTTGGTGTCCAAAGCATATACCTTCCTTTCGATTGTCTCGTTAGCGTTCTGTTCATTCTACGAACAAGACAAAACGAGAAGCACCTATTAACTTGACCTCGTCCCTCCTCGTAGCTACATATCTTACCCACTCCACCAGTTTGGCAATCCACGGATCATCGTCGTATGCGGAGTACTTCGACCCGGAAATCAGCACACCCGTGTATCCCTCATCCAGGTCTGGGTACACCTGCTCGTTGACGACGTCAAAGCCGTCGAGCGTAAAGGGGAAGGACGCATCGGGTTTCGATCGTTGTAGTTGATCACGAAAGACGTCGAGATACGTCCCGCGTGATTTGAGCACGGCGGGCACGGGTGTGTCGCACAGCAGAAGAGCGAGCTTGACCGGCTTTACCCCTACGTCAGGCATGACTGAGCAAGCAGCAGCAACAGCACTAGCATACCTGTTATTATTACCTATTTAGTATATTACTATTAGAGCGAGCGGCGTCAGTATTACGTAATTTCGCATATTACCCTGCTCGGGAAAAGTAGTTTAAAGTTGATGCAGCCGAGGTACAACCATTGCCGCATTACTTTGCAATCCGTATACATAGAATCTTTGTTTGTTCCTTCAATCCTCGCACTAGGACTTAAAAATGGGCGCGAGGATTCTTCCCCTTGCCCACTAGGCACATTACCTTCACCCCATCTATTCTCGATCTCTCACCATGAATACTAAGGAGTACACAACCGCAGAACTCAATGCGGCGTTGAATCAGTTTGATTTTGAAAATCGTCCATATACTGAAGGCGATATTAGAAAGAAATACCTCGAGAAGGTGGGTACTCTGTATCCTGATAACCTGCAACACAGATTCTCACTACTACAATTTGCCCGTCTTCCTGGATACCCACCCCAGTAGGCAAAGAAATTCCATTCGGACAAAAATGGTGCCGATGAAGAGATGAAAAAAGCCTATGAAGAAGCATTCAAGAAGGTGTGATTGACTACTATGTGATATGAGGGATTGAGTACTTACTACGAGAGCTATCTTTCCAAGGTCTGTCGCTACAAAGATATTTTGGAGTGGAAACTTCAGGGCATTGAGCCGAAAAGGCCGGAAGAGCGTATGTCTGTCATTGCCAAAGCATCAATTGTGTCTAATTACGTTTCACAGCAATTAAACCTTCTACACAGTCTCGCCGTGATTACTCCCCGTGTCCTGATAGTAGTGACGATGACTTTAGATATTCTCGTTCGAAGTACCGACGCCGGCGATCAAGTGATTCCGATGATAACCTTGGCCACGGTTACTCCAAAGAATACATAAATGCTTATAATGAATATATGATGTGGAAGAAAAAGGTAAAACAGAACGAAGAAAGGACTAGACAACAAGAGGCTAAAGAAACAAGATATTGTAACTCACGACGGGAGGAGAAAAGCTCGGGCCATTCATCTCACCGAAGGGACAGTGACAGGCAGCATAATTACCGTCCCCAATATGCTCCCGAACCCAAACAGTATACTCGCGGACATGACTCAGATGAAGAACGAGAATTCCTAAAAACAACAACGAAGGCTCGTGAAGACGCCGAGGCTCAGAGGAAGAAAGAGCGGTGTTACACACGGTCCCGGCCTGATGTTAACCTCGATTATGTACGCGCACCATCATCGTCCACGGCGCACCGGAGATCGAGTGGGCATGATGACCGATTTTTCAAACATGTGCCTGCTCCCGGTGCTCCGAAAACAGCACGCCCAGTACCGACAAGAGATGACCGACGCGAACGCGAGCACCGACAAGTGTCTTCCTCAACAAAAACCACGACGCGTACGACTAGTGGGATGTATGTGAATGGCCACCCTGTTGAAAATATTAGTAGGAGTAGGATGTATGTGAATGGCTACCCTGTCGACAGGATAGTTTGTAACGACCCAGATGAATACGTCAATGAAGACCACTATTGTGACTCCCCAGACGAATACGCTGATGAGCGCTACCATGACCGGGTAAATGGTGGTTCAAAGTATTCAAGGCCACCTAAATCGAGTTACTACTCTAAAGGGCCCCGCTACCATCGTTGAAATAGTTCGTTATTTCAAAAGGGGGAAAGCTCAGTTAAGAAGAGATCCTTCATGTGCAATAAAGGACACCTAGGGTTAGTGTCTATCTGAAGTGACCTAACGGCAAGGAACAGTTATGCAGCAAAGTAGTTCATAATGTCAAATCTAATTATAATTTATATTGCATGTGAAGTAGTTACCAAGAGGAAATATAAACATGTACTAGTAATTCCATCTACAAATGAGATAGATACTACATGGCATACTGGTGTTAAGCTGTTGAGTTTCAGAGCTTCCTTGGGGCGATCTGACACAGTTTAGTTCAATGTTCCACGTATTCCATGTGCAAGGCAATTATAAACCACCCTAACTGTCGTCTCACTCCTTCTTATACACTGCAATAGGACAGTAGAACATATTATGCCTGTGCCTGTGTCAATTTCATGTGAGTTCTCCTTTGTGGCAATTCCTGAATGCATTATTGCACACATTTACCAGTTCTGTCTTCCTCCGGAATCTACTAACGTAACTGCTATCTTCTTGTAACAAGTTTCAGATCTCCGAGTACTCCTCGGGTTGTGCTCCGTATATTTATCTTGTTACGTAGTTATGAAACTTACGCAACATGGAACTGCCACTCTAATACAATATAATTCGCAGCTTCACGTAACAGATGATAGCTTTGCAGCTGTTCATTATTGTCCCTGGTTCCGAACACAATGTCTTTAAGTAAGGTGCAAGAACTCCTCGCCATACTTTCTCCTCTGCTTTCCACTAGACCCCACAATGACGACAGATGATAGAAGCTTGGATGAACGGGAATTGAAAGAAGCATTGAAAATGTATGGACTTGAGGACAAGCACTCGTACACCAAAGACGACGTTAAAAAAGTTTACCGCAAGCTGGTGGGTGTGTTGCATATTGAGAGCCCACAGCATATATCTCAATTATTAGAATATATCCCTGCTTTCTGGGCGACCAACTTCCATAGGCTTTAAAATGTCATCCAGACAAAGCAACGACAGACCCTGAGAGCAACGCAAAATTCCGGAGGGTATTGTCTCCACTTGAATGGTGCTACCAGTCATCTCTAATGAGAGTTGTTCTTTCTAGGTTGGTAGATTCAGGGAAATTCTGGACAAATACGTTGACATGCGTGATAGTACGTCCGACGTCCGTCGCGGTTAAAACGTTTTTCTTATCTGAGTTACTTCACAGCTCGTACAACGCTTTCCTCACATGATGATGATGATGTCGAAACCTTGGAAAGTAGGATTAGGAACAGGGATGCCTACATGCGAGCTCTCGAGGATTATATTGAGGAGCTTAGAAGGTATGGTGAATGGCAGGAAGAACAAGAGAAACAGCGCGCACATAACAGGAAGCAGTGGGAGGATTTTCAGCGTACGAAAGAGGAATATAGAAGGCGTGAACTTCAACGTCAAGCATGGCTCCAACGTAAGCGTGAAGAGGATAGACGACAACGTGAAGCAGAACGCCAGAGATTTATAGCAGAGGCTGCGCGGGCTCGCGCAAAAGCTGAAGCTGAGAGAGAAGAGGAAGAACGCCGAAGATCCAAGAGAGAGGCAGCACAGTCGCGTGCAAGAGCTGACGCTGAAAGAGGGGATGAATGGATTTATCAAACTGGTACAGTAATCACTGCAGTGAAGTATAGCATACACGCTGACCTGTCTGTCATAGGAGTTCCAGGACCTCGCAATCCCCGACCTGGAGTGGATTTTAATTACGTGCATGCGCCGTCATCCTCCACAGCGAACCGACGGTCGAGTGAGGCCCATAACCGTTTATTCAGACATGTTCCTCCGTCTCCCAGGGCGAACACGGTACCTGGGAGAGGTTATGACCAACACCGCAGACGTGATCGTCAACAGGGCATCTCTTCAGCATCTACAAGGATAGTTGAGAGTTATCCGGACGGAGACTATTATGAAACGGTATACACAAACTCCCCAACCGAGTGCGACTGTGATGATTGTTATTACCACCGTGGTCATCGGGGACACAACCACAGTCGTACCCAAGCATCGAATCAGTTTTCTAGTAGCTTCCACATCTACTATGACTAGCTGAGAGACAGATTCTGTTCCACAAGGCAGAGTCAATGTTTTGACCAAAGACAAATGAGACGGCGATCGTCTCCAGTACGTTGAGTAAATTAGTTAATAAGTGAGACTGCAAGAGCATAAATAGAAAAGATCTTGTTTCACTTTCATGTCTAGATGCAGTCGTGAGAATGGCAGTATTTGCAGTCAAAAACTCACATCTAGTCAAGGCAGTATGTTGAATTAATCTTCTCTGAACAAAGTTGGACTGTGCAGCCCTCAAAAGCGGCGAGATTGTGCAAAACATTACAAAGCGGTACAGGATACAAAGATCAAACAGTATGCCACAGAAAACAGCACTCATGCAGAGACCTTGCCCCATGTCACTTTTTGTCCACCCTTCGATGAAGTCGTAGCAGAAGAAGCCGGTGGCGCCTCTGTGTTTTGAGATGATGGAGGCTTTGGAGTTGGAAGTGGGATGGCTTTAAGGCCATCTACAACACGTTGTGCATGCTCTGTGTTACGGATGAACCATCCGGCATATCGACGTCCGATGGTCGCTTCGACGATATGTACCATGTTCTGAAAATAATTCGAGTTAGTAATGCAGAGAGAATCTGGCAACCGGGTGAGCGCAGACTTACCTCATCGATAACGAAGTCAAGGTCACTTGTTGTGATCGTTTCGCCGTCTAGTAGACCACGTCCTCCTTCAGCCGAATTAGCAACACGCCCGATTCGACGACTGCATTGCTTCAAAACCATCATCTGCTGTACCATCTCTTCTTCGTCCGCGTCAAGGAAACCAGCAAGCTTTCGTGCGTCCAGGCTGGTGTACAGCTTGAGGAAGCTACGCAATGTGGGAGCACTCGCCTGTGCCCTCACATCTGACAGGAAAAGAGAAAGGTGTCGCTGAGCTGGTTCCTGAGGCGGCTCGGAGATGTACGACGCGAGCGCTGCCGGATCATCGTAGGGAGGCGGGTTGGCGGCGATGAACTTCGGGCACGCGTAGATGTACAATTCCTCGAATGTTGCCAGTGCCTCGTCTGTCGCCGCACCGTTCTGCATACGAGCAATCTGGTCTCCGAACCTTTCCTTTGCAGTACTCAAAATGTTGTCGTCCAAGCGACTTGGCGCCAGTGAGTTGCAAAGCGCAAAGAGCGCGTACATTCGGTCCGCAGTTTTGTTGATCTGGTCGTACTGGTATGAGCGCGTGTGGTATCTTCGCATGCGCATGATGAAGTTCAGAATTGAGACGAAAATGCGGATGGCATCTAGATACCGACGGAGTGCCAGGTAACAGAAGCCGACGTGATAGTACGTTGAGACATGGCATGCCGTCACACGGGTGAGCGGAGCCTTCTGGCTTAACTCCACATTCTCCATGACCTTTAGCGCAAGAGTGAAGTCGCCCAATAGCACGTGTACGCGAAGCAGACAGATAATGCTGAAATATCCTAGCATGCGGTATAAAGGTTTCTGACCGTACTCGCCAATGATCTCGTTAATCTCTTCCTCGCTCTTGCCTTCCCGCGTGGCGGTAATGTATTCATTTATTTTAGACTTTTGAATCAGCGAGTAAAGGACGTTGAGCACGCTGTAGCAGCTCCAAACTTGGCTACCGTCTGCTAGAAGTACGAGTTCCTCTTCAGTTTTGTTTTTCACTTTGGATCGCCAGACGGAGAAGGATTGGAACTGGTAGATGAATTCGTCGAGGATGTCCCATAACCATTGGTCAGGTAGTTCGTGAGAGACAGGGCCATCCGAGTCTGCGAAATGATTAGTACACATTTAAAGGCACAGTAATGGACGCACTTAGTAGATAATTGAATAGCTCGCAGCTGTTCTCGTAGGAATGGAATCGGTCGTCAATGTCCGGCTGTAGACGCGAATATACGTGGCGATAGTAGAGTTCGCGATAGAGAATTAAAAAGATTGGATCTGTGAGAGATATCAGTAAATCTAAATCATGCGCTCGTTCCAAGCAAAGACGCACCGTCGTTAACAAGCGGCGCAATAACTTCAGCTTCTGGCCACTCGGTCTTCGCGTAGTATTTCTCGGTCAGCTTGTTCCAACCACTTTCATACGCGACAGTGATCTGCTCGAGATTATTGTGTACCACGGCTTGGTGAAAGTGAACGATGAACTAATCGGCATTCTTCAGCTTCGTTATGATTTGGGCAAGGATTGAGAACGCACGCGTTTAACGACGTCGGGAATTTGAGCAAATGCATTCTGCTGTACCATCTGCTGCTGCATTGCAGCAAGAGTTGCACTGTCAATCTGTGTTTGTGCTTAAAAATTGAATAAATATTATGCCAAGGTTCATGCAAGTATGGAGCCGGCACACCTTCATCATACACGTCGTTTTGGACGTAGTTGCCAATGGTATGGCTGAGATCCACATCCTGCAGCTCTTCGTCGACTTCGGCTTCGGCAGCCCACAATGGCATACGTTGCTGAGATGCCTCGGCCATAACGTTTTTGAAAATTAGGGGACAGAATCTATGTTCAACTTCAAGTCGTCAACGAGGTTTCTTGTGTCCCTGCTGATGTGAAGGCCAAAAACTTTCAAACGCCAAGTATGGGAATTTCTTCTCGCGTTTGGAACGTCACGTGCAGTAACTCTCAAGCGCGTCGGATTTGATGATCGACGCGTTTTCACAAATTCAGCTCAGCGTCACTCTTCGTAATTCCTCTAATTCCTGCGTCTTCACCGCAGCCGCAGTCGACTCGACTCAGCCCCTATCAGCTCCGCATGAGCTTTTTGAGGGCTGCTTCGAAGAAACTGGCGCGCAGCTGTGTCCTTCCCTATGACCTTCACAAGCCCCCAACTCGTACACTGCGCGTTGGACGGATGCCTACAAACAATCCACTGCTGAATCTTCATCATGCTGCTGCGAGGGACATTTCTGCAGTTTTCAAAGTGAGACAGCTTTTATGCTGTGATAACGGAGCCAAACCGACTGATGGATGAGTGATAGTTCTACGAGAGAGACGAACATTCGGACGGTGTACTGTCTGATACATTTGAGCGCCTGAGGGCGTTGGTTCGGAGTATTGACGGTGGCGGAAAATATGACCTTGTGGATATCAGCTTTGGATCCCTTAATGGCTTCCCGAGGCTCTATAATGCACCATTGGAATGTATGGTCATGGTATGTATCGCAACTCTGCAACATTTCATCGTCTTGACTCCAGACGTTTGGTATCCAAGGACAAAATGCACCCAGAGGGTTTGACGCCAGCCGATGGAACCGAGACTCTTCCAATAGCATATGACTCAATGTAAGGCGTGATTTGGGGTGGTCATGTTACGTGTACTAATGTCCGCAGTGCGCTCGCCAATTACTTAGCTGGACATGGGTACAATGGGACATTCATCGACACGAAACCAGACATACTGGGCCACAACGCTCAGGATGGAACAGTGCTTTATCGTCCCGCTAGGCTACTACCAGAGCCTTCGTGGGGCAACTTTACACCGTTCAGCTCAATGTTCGACGTCTTGCCACCCACGCTGCGAATCCTCTCTGCTAGCCCCGACCATCCAGAAATTCACATCAGCCCCGCCCACCCCTCACAGCAGTTGCGTTGGAATATGCTCAAGCACATGAGTGAATCTAGCGCTGCATTCCGCATGCTTTCCTCGGTCTTCTGGCTGTGGCTACGCTCTCATGGAATCGACCATTATTCGTGGATGACGTGCGCGTTTCTCGTCATGTATTCTTTACAGGTAACTTTCTTGAATGATTTGAGACCTTACTTAATTTTGAAAAAAAATTGTTTGTTTAGGCTCATTTCAGACTTCCTTCTCTACCCACATCGGGTATACAGTCTCCCTCGCAAGAATTCTTGAGCAAAGCGAACAGCGGCTCGAATCAAGTACTCCAACGTCTCAACATACCTAGCGTTCCGAGCATTGCGGATCTACCAGACAATCCAGGTGTTTTACTGTGCAAGTTCTTCTCGTAAGTGCTTGCGCTCAATCTGAAGCCGCCCTTGACCTTTTTCGCTGTATAGATTCTGGGCTAATAGCAAACATATACCTTACAATTACGTTCTCGACTCCATCGGTGGAACGTACACTCCTCGGAAACAAAAGTACAGAGCCAATGGAAAAGACTTGGACGAAGCGCAGATTATGAAAGGATTGCGTACATTATCAATCAAAGGCATCAAGGATGCGTATTGGGATTATAATCCTCTCGTACTGGTCGACCCTTTCCTACCCTATCATGTGCGTAACTTTATTTAAGGAAATGGCGACGTGTACTAACCTACCTTCTGAAGAATCTCGCACACATGGTTACGAAGCATGCTCTTCACTTAATGTTTCACAGGGCACATTTCGCTGCTTATGCCCTTAAACATGGGCAACCTGTGACAGAAATATTTGGCACGGAGGGTCGATCGCTCCCGGATACATACGCATGGAAGCAGGGTGTTGCTTGGCTACCATCACCCAGCAGCCAGTCAACGAGTTTACCGCATCCGTTCCAGCGTACATATTATACTTCCGCGCGAGCAAAGAGATCAAAGCTGCCTCCACCCACGATCCACGCTGTACGTCGCTCAGAACGACTCATGTGAAAATGCGGAATTGATCTTTTGGTAAAGCTACCGGGAGTCCCCCGATATGTTCTTGCAAACCGCGAGAGGACCATCAAGCGTGTTGAAAGGGCGATTCGGAAACGATATGGCAATCAGTATACCGTGGAGTGTTTCGGTAGTACGCAGTACGGTGTTGACTCGCCTACGAGTGATCTTGACCTTGTCATACTGGTGCGTATCTTGCTTCCTATTTACAAGACGCTAACTGCATCGGCCCAATTTTCCTCAGGATCACGATCGGGAGAACGGGTTCTCTCCGGATGTTTCCACTCGATCATTACCTGGTGCGTCTACCGTCACAGATTTTCTTTTCAACCAAGCTAACTGATTCGTGGGACATTGTGTAGTTGTGTACAACGTGCAGTAAGGGAAAACTGTTGCAATTGATAATAGCTTAATCTAAACTCTGATCGCGCAGAAACTTGGCCCGTTCCTTGGAATATAACGGCTTTCGAGTTTTTCAAACTATTCCCACAGCAAGTGTCCCAATAGGTATGTCAACATCAATCCTCGCCCTTCGTCCAGGAAAACAGACTGCTATTATACAGTGAAGTTTGAAGACCCACGAACAAATTTGAACTGCGACATTAATGTCAACGACCGTCTGGGCCTTTGCAACACGCGGCTTATTGCTCAGTATTGCAAGTTATCGCCACTGTTGAGACCATTACTCGGCTTGATTAAGAAGTGGGCAAAGACAACGGGACTGAATGACCCCTCGGGTGATAAAGGCACTGCGACGTTTAGTAGTTATTCGTTGACGTTGATGACAATTGGGTTCCTTCAGGTGCGTTCGTCGTTCATCGTGTCAAATATGATATAGTTAATTTATGCATTCACTAACGACGTGTACAACCTTACAGGCGCATGAACAACTTCCAAACCTCCAAGCTGGCCTTCCACCGCTGACTGCAGAAGACGCGTTCTGGCTACGGGGGAAGGATAATGTTCGAACCCGATGCGACCCTCGTTTCGATCAGAATCTTTCCTGGTCCCCACCTGAGGATGCGGTCACGTTCGACTTGCGTGGGGTGTTGTGTGCTTGGTTCCGGTTTGTTGCATTTCGTCGCGCTCTTCGTCTCTGCTTCTCTAACTAGGATATGTGCAGGTACTGGGGTCATCAGTACAACTACTCGCTGGACGTCATGAGTATCCGCGATGGAGGCGTTATTCCTCGGGTTGACAAAGCCGAGACGACTCTAACTGCAGATAAGCAAGGAAAGAAACGCGCGAAGGTCCTCGCACGACGATCTCAACGAGACAGGAAGAGGGCGGAGAAGGAGGCTAGGGCTGGTCGTAATACTTCTTCAGATGCGAAGGAAACGGAGAGTTTTGTGGATGAGTTAACTGGTGAACGTGTCGAGCTGGGTGAGATTTGTGTTCCTTTCTTTCTGCATTTGTAAGAGAATAAAGAAACTGAGCGTCCGGATTATGATAGAATTGGAGAGTGAAGACGTAGTAGAGGAGGCGGGAGAGGAGGAAACTGCGGCCGTTGAAGACCTTGATGACACCGCGCTCGAAGAAATGGCCGAAGCGGATCTTGAACAGGGCAAACAGCCACGCTCATGGGCGCTCGCAGCACTCGTCGTTGCTGATCCTTTCATTCTCTCCAAGGTACGTACACTTTAAACTAAATATCTTGTAACTTGCTTTTTTCTCTTCTTCTGACAACTAACTTCTCACTCTACTGACAGAACGCAACTGGTGCGATTACAGTACGCGCCATCGAGCGATTCACAGCCGAATGTCGTCGCGCTCTGTTACTTCTCTCAGCTGAAGCAGACTTCGAGGATCTTCTAGGCGATGGATCTGCCATTGGCCGCCGCGGGGGGCGAGGGAGGAGGGGCGGAAAAGGTAAAGGTGATAGAGGTAGAGGGGGAAGAGCAGAATGGATGACACGTGGTAGACAGGGTAGTCGGGGGCGGGCGGATCAGGGCGAGAAGGAGAAGAGAGAGACGTCTCGTTCATCAGGTGGAAATAGGAATCGGGATGGAGATGGAGATGGAAGACGTGCGCGATCGGATAGTCGTGGTAACAACGGAGGAGAGAAGGATTCTGGAGAAGTCAGGCTGAAGGAGAGTGGGTCTTCTCGAGGACAGGGAAGGGGCTATGGGCATGGAAGCGGACGTGGGCGAGGTGGAGAACGGCCTGTACAGAGTCGTGGATCGGGCAGAGGGACAGAGCGAGAAGATAGGAACGCAGGGCAAGAAGCGGACCCGATGAGGTATAATGGACCTGGGAGGTGGGCTACGAGGAGCCTTGCTATTCGGAGGGGTACTGGAAACGCAAACACTCGCGCTAATCCATCGTAAAGGGAAACCGATGAAGAGGGGTAAAAGGGGACGTGGTGATGTTCGCAGTTCTTGCTCTGTTTATTGTCTTGCATATGCATTTTCCCTTGAGTTATTCGATTAATCTTTACATGAAGTGAAACGCATTTAGACATATGTAGTAATTACAACAAGCACATATTATCAATGCATCCCTAAGACAGAAATGTTATCTATACGTGTTACACTACTGAGGTTCACGAAGGTGCGTTTGTCAAGGAGTAAGGCGTGCCTTAGAGGTGGACAAGGAGAACAAATATGTTTCGTATCATATTAAAATACTCCATTATGAATTTATGGGACCGGTTCTATTCACGTTGAGCGCCTCAAGGGCGTGTAAGGTGTTGACAGACGTCATTTATCGGTTTGATAAAAACAGACGCCAGGCATATACTGCGCATAGCGATGATGCATGAAATTCTGTCAAGTTTAAATGCGTGAAGACAGGGGGGGTGGGTGTATTTTGGTCTCTTGCATCTGGTGATCTCGCCTAGCGAATGACATGTTGCAACAAAACAAGTATACGATATGAAACCTTGGATAAGATGGTACGTTTGCCGCAGCGGGAGTAAAATAGAGATCCAATCCACTTCGACATTGCAAGCGATAGAGCACAAGCGAGGATCAGCAAAGTTCCACACAGCTAAATATTTTGCAGGCCGTACGGCCATTAGACGGCGCCTAGAACGATGCACAAGATTCAAGATGATGCCTGGACGACGGGTATCAAGAGATCAGAGTATCAAGTCGGATAGAAACGCGCGCCGAGTGAGCAGTCGCTTGTCTGATCGGCAGCTGATATTCATTGTGGTCAATACAATGCAAAAAGACTAGGATGCGTTCGGGATTTTGGGTGATCCATGGGGTATAGCAGATTAGGAGGGCGTAGCGGGGTAGATGAAGCACTTCCGAGACGAACAATCTGGAGCTAAGTAAGTGGGAGAAGTTGATTCAAGGTAGTTTTTCGCTATTGGACGTTATTTGATGTTTCAAGAAAATGTTTGAGGAATTTATTTTTAATATTTATTGTTGTTGAGAAGCGTTGAATATCGTCACTGTGAGCGCATACGTAGTGCAGCCTATCAGCACGGCACTGACACACTCTCCTTCCTCATCGTCCACCTCTTTAAAATCGCCCAGATCAATCATCCGTCTTGTAAGTACACTCTCGGACTTGTATCCATCTTTGTTCCCATCGTGTTTGTCAGATATCCGTCACTCGCGTCGCCGAAATCTGCTTTACTGTAAGTCTTATTCCACAACGTAGACCCGGCCGATCGCCATCTGCCCTCCACCCTCTCCTCTCGCTCTCAGCACTTACCACCACCACGATCGCATATAGCGTCTTCGCGTATATCCCCCGCCAGTTATATTGAACAAGGCGAATCATATTCATTACCATCATGTCGACCTGGAAATTAGGTTCTAAAAGTAAGTCTCTCTCCCTCTGTCTATTCTTTGCGGCACCGTTTCGTCTCTTGCCGCGCAGGGATGTCGTCGTTGTATCTGCGTTACAATATCCGTTTCTGACCATCATATTGCTCGTGTATGAAATAGAGAAGGAGACAAAAGACATGTCGATGTCGACTTCTCGCTCGACGACCCCCATCCCTTCAAGACCCACCACTCCGAGGCCGCCCGGTGAAGCACCAGCCAACTTCAGATCAGGAATGCTCACGGTCGTTATCTTCTCCGGTGCGTATGGTGCCCTCTGATCGTATCTGTGCACGCGAGCGTTGACTGTGATTCCGTAGGGCGAGGCTTGTCACTCCCACCTGGTGCGATTGTGCCAGATGTCATTCAGCAAGCCATCCGCACTGTTCCAGAGCGCCTTCCTCACCCACGCAGCAACCGCGACAGCATGCAGCGCAAGCGACAATGGTGGCTTCCCTACGTCGTCCTCGAATTCGACAAGAACGAGATCCTCATCGACGCACTAGACGGCGATCTCTCCTCCCCGGTCTGGAATCACCGGGCACACTTCGACGTGTCGCGTACATCGAATATCATTGTTTCTGCCTACCTTCGTACAGCGCAATGCGTACAGGGGCATGATGATATGGGTAATGATTTGTTGATGGGCCGGGTCGAGATAACACCTGTGCTTGACGTACACCACGTTTCGGACCAATGGTATGTCGGCACGGGCGGTGCTGGAGAATTCCATTTGCAGATCGGCTTCAAACCGTCTGCACAGTCGCTTACAATCGAGGCGTTCGACCTCCTCAAGGTCATCGGGAAGGGAAGTTTCGGCAAGGTTATGCAGGTCCGCAAAAAGGACACTCAACGAGTGTATGCGCTCAAGACTATCCGCAAAGCGCACATCGCATCTCGCCCTGGCGAGATCACACATATCCTTGCGGAGCGCACAGTCCTAGCACTCGTCAATAACCCATTCATCGTCCCGTTAAAATTCTCCTTTCAAAATCCTGATAAACTTTACCTCGTCATGTCCTTCGGTCGGTACCTTAGTCATCCCTTCCTCAACCTTCTCGTTTACTGAAATCTTTTTCTTTCCTATCCAGTCAACGGTGGTGAACTTTTCTACCATCTACAACGAGAAGGCAAGTTTGATGAAAATCGAAGTCGATTTTACGCCGCGGAACTACTTTGTGCCTTGGAACACTTGCACGGTTTCAACGTTGTATACCGGTAAGCGTCTGGATCCTCAAACGCTTTTTTTACTGTTTCGTTAATGAGTGTTCTAGCGACTTGAAGCCAGAGAACATCCTTCTCGATTACACGGGGCACATTGCACTCTGCGACTTCGGTCAGTACGCTTCCTTTCATTCTATTAATAGGACACACGATGGCTTATCGGGGGTGCTACTGCGGCCCACTTATTATAGGATTGTGCAAACTCAACATGTCTGAGACTGAGAAGACGAACAGTGAGTCTAGACCCTTATCCTTTCGAGGGTGACGACGTGGCTTATCGATTCTTCTCTAGCGTTCTGTGGGACACCTGAGTACATCGCACCTGAGCTCCTGGAGAGCCAGGGATACACGAAGACTGTTGATTGGTGGACGCTTGGGGTGCTTCTGTTCGAGATGATGGTCAGTCCTTCTTTATGACCATTCGCATTTACCAGAATCATTGACGAGTATCATTTTGTGCAAATGCGCATATACAGACTGGCCTACCACCCTTCTACGACGAGAACGTCAACGTCATGTACCAGCGCATCCTACGGGATCCATTGTTGTTCCCTCCGGACATGTCACACGACGCGAAAAGCGTCATGACAGGATTGCTTCATCGTGATCCGTCGAAGCGACTGGGACACAATGGCGCTGATGAGATCAAGAGACACCCGTTCTTCTCGAGACATATTGATTGGAATCGGCTGTTGGCGAAGAAGATCCAGCCGCCTTTTAAGCCGAGTGTGGTGAGTCCGCTGATCCATCTTTCTTCTTCCCCGATCCCCGTGTGCCCCTGGAAGGAAGGCATGTGTTCTGAAATATGTTCTTTCTTATGTAGGAGTCCGTGTTGGACGTGGCGAATTTCGATTCGGAATTTACGTCAGAGACGGCAACAGACTCTGTTGTCCTTGACTCACAACTATCTGAGACTGTGCAAGACCAGTTCCGTGGATTCACGTACAATCCGGAGCCGGAGCATCTCAGTGCGAGCGTTCAAGGAGCATAAGCCTTCATGAGATTACTTCCATTATCTCTCCGCTTTTTACGGCTATCAGTCTGTGTTGGTGGGTTTCGTGAATTGAGCGGGGTGCTTCGTACATACATACGATTGTTGATGCACGGACTCCTTTCCTGTTCACTTTCCCATTCGAATTGTTTCGGACTGGTTCGACTTATTATTTTGAGGAGGGTCACTTAAATGTGTAGCTGGATCCACAATGTAACCCTTTTCCTTCATTTTGTCTCTCCGGTTTTCGGCCTTGTTCTCGAGGTCAGTTCATATATCTTCTGTATACCCTTCTTTTCTTCGCCTTCGTTTCCCCTCTGTTTCTTTTTTCTTTTTGTTTTGTCTGGTCTTTCTTGAACATAAAAATGGGTACCTTGAGCTCTATACATGGCTTGCCGCTCGCCCTACGTGTCCCTCGTGCTTCTATTAAACAACCCCTTTCCCGATTTTCTTTTTCTTTTTCTTTCTTGTTCGTTCAGATGAACGTCGCACACTTGTGTCGCTATCTATCTACCTATCCCTTCGTCCTTCTGCACAATGTCTTGTAGCTTTTTTTTCTTTTTTCTCTACAAGTTTACACAAGTTCATACGGACTTGTTCCCTACTTTCGTGTACCGTTGAGAGACTATTTGTCTTTCGAGTCGTTTGATTTCCTACTTTTCTTTCGTTTCTTTCTTTTCTTCGATTTTCTTTTTTCTTTTTTTAATTGCTCGCTGTGTATCTTGCTACGTGTAGCCAGCTGTCTTTTGTCTGTCTATTTGTCTTTGTCTTTTTCTCCTACCTTTCTGGCCTGAATAAAAGAAAGAGTGAATGATTTAAGCTCTTTTCAACCAATTTATGAGAGATGAGAAGGGGTATTGAAATTAATATTGTGAGATGGATGGATACTGTGTCTCCAGGTTGTTTGTTGGAGAGTTAAAAGTAAGTATCTTAGAGTATGGGTGAATGTTCTGGAAAAATATATAAATACAGGTGGTTCCCCAAAGTCTTTGGCCCCCTGTATTTGGAAAGTGATCAGCACCAAAGCCTGACCCAACTAATTACACAATTTTTACTTAGTTTTACTTAATAATATACCCTTTAAATTTAACAAGACTATAGTATTATCCATAATATCCAAATAATTTTGTAACAAAATGAAGGGGGAAAATGAAGGGGGGAAAACTATATATTTCTGATGTGTCTCTGTTTGCTTCAAAAGAGACATGTCAATCCTTACTATACCTTACACCAGAGACAACAACCTAGCATTTATACACTCTCTCACAACATGTAATCAGATTTTACTACTTTACAGAGGATAATGTCTCATATTTATTTTTAAAGTATATATTTGGCCAGAATATCATTATATTTCGACTAAAAGACTAGATTACTGGAAAGCATTGATTACTTTCCAAAAACAGGAGGGCCGAAGACTTTTGGGAACCACCTGTATAGTGGCATGAATACTCTTACTACAGAGACTTAGATTGGGTAAAAGGATTTATCTATAGGACAACGAGTTTATAAGAAGCTTTGCAAATGCACTGTAAGGTGTTACATCACGACTTCCATCTTACAGCACTCGATTCTCGATCTGCGTCGACTGTTTGAGACGGAAAAAGAATAGCGCTGAGAAAGAAGGTTCATAAGAAGCGACGAAAACACTGCATTGACTTCTGTAATTGGATACTTGTCGAGCGTCAAAAGCACCGTACCTGTGTTCATTTCCAGAGGAGACGTAGACTTACTCAGATGATGGCCGTTATCCTTATTAGTCTGCGCAGAAGCGTGGCAGACGTGTATAGCTGACGAACGGGAGGCGCAATGGGCAAGTAGACGAAGCTGCAGGAGAAATTCAACAACTAATCACGTGTATAGGGAGTTTTGTGCGTATAAAATTTACCTTATAATTCCTAACTGCAGCCTTAATTTCTTTGCAGACCCTTCCGGACAACCTAGATCGCAATGGCAAGACAGCCAAACGGCTGAAAAAGCCTTTTTTAAGCTCAACTGACAGATCATCTGCAGCCTTGACCAAGGTACTAAAGTTGATATGCTTTCAGAATATCGTTGGTCAATGAGTAACTTTTACTTCCTATCGAGAGTAACAGCAGCTCCTTGCAGCTCCCTAGGAAAATCAGCTTCTGGCATCGTGGCTTCTTCTAATATTCCACCAATATCCTCAATCGCCTTCAACAGCTGCTTGTTCTCGACTTTTTCGTCTTGGACTTTCTGTAATATGTTATTAGCCCTTGCCTCAAGACAAGCAGGTGAAGTGGACAGCATCCAAGATGAAAAGTAGGCCGCCAACAGCCGGCTTTGCAGGCGGGAAGGCGTCGGATGCAGCTGCCACGCCCTGTACTCCAAAGTGAAATACGAAAAAGACCTTCCCGAGAATTTTCTTCGTTTTGACGAATTTCTTCGGTTTTTCCTGTGTGGATGTCGGGGTGGGGCTGGTGTCTTGATTAAGTACCGTCCCTGCCGCACCGTTGGCTACGGGCACATTTGATCCAGACGATAAGTATTCTGGGTTTTGTACTGCGGCTGGCTGCGCCGCCAATACTCCAATACGACTCGTGTTCGAGGGCTCTTCGAGAACAGTCGTTTGGTGAAATAGCTCGGGGAGCGCTATCCTTTGCTTCCAACGTCAGTCCAGGCACTGAGTTCAAAGGTAGGTTCGACATCTGAGATGCCGGAGCCTTCTTAAGAAAACGGCGCGAAAGAGTTTTCATCGATGAGTACTCGTTGTATAGACAGCGACGAGATCAGGATGGTGGATACTGCAGTGAGGGGGAAATGGCAGAAAGAGGTCTGGGGACAGGTACAAGCAACAAAGGACCTATATTTCCTAGACAGTGTATGTCCCAGACTTGTGTACTAGGTACCTTGCAACATAGCCTCGACAAAGCGGATTTTGGTAGGTGGACATTGATGACGAGTTTTAGATAGTTCTTCTTCTGCAAGCAATTGAGGGCCAAGACCACGTGCGATCTATCATCAAGAGCTCAGAATACAAGTACTCGCTCTTTATAATCATGTGTATACAGAAGGAAAGAGGGAGTTTGCCGTGTTCGTTGCGCTGCAGTGGGAGTAAAATTAAGAAGAGCCACAGCGTCGATCACTGTTGTGCTGTGGATGTACGTTACGTAACTGGAGACGATCCATGTCTTCTGGCTCAAGCCTCAGTAGCCGCCTTCCATGACCCGTCAACGTCGTTCATGATGTCCATGAACTTGCGTGCTCGTGGCTCCGTAAAAATACAGGCTGTAATATCTCAAGTTATTGTCTGGTATCGAACACGCAAATCAAACAATAGCTAATCGCAAATGTCTCAAAAAACGTTAATATTCTCGTCAATTCTCCTCATCATGTAGCAAACTAGTACCGACTATACGTTTTGTGGTGATACACAACGGGTTAATTCTGTTTTAAATAAGTTAAAAAATCATTCACATACTTTGCTTACTACTGTGATGACCTACGTATGTAGTTACTCAGTATTGGAGTCTCTAAGGAATGTGTGCAAACAATAGTGCCTAATATTAAGCTGTTGCAATATTAGGGGAAGTTGTTCTCCTGTTTTATGCACCTTCAAGTTGGTGTGCGGGCAGGGGAGTAAAACTATATAATTATAGCTCAATGAGTACAAAGTTTATTCCTTGTTGCTTCTGACTGGTACACTGATTGAATCTTTCAAGCTAATATGATACATGTAAGGATTGCATTACAGTATGTATTTTACTTTTATCTAGAGCGCTGACTTACTTTGTGGATCATGCATTTGGACCCACAAGCACCCATACCCCTTTGTAGTTAGTAAGTTAGTTCCCTAGGGTCGGCCTCATGTATTCCATAGTGTATATAAGACAGTCTTGATTGATGGGCAAAGGGGACTTTTCCCTCTCTGCTGTCACTCAAGTACTAGGTTATCCCAGTCAGTACTTGAATGACCTAAGAGCGGATTAGTTCTCTTGTAAGGAACAGTGAGTTTCCTTACAATACAGAAGCTAGATTAGGCCACTATGAAATTGCTGTACATATGTCAATCTTGTCAATAATAACTGAAGAGCTGTACTGATTACCTATACAATAAATACTTAGCATACAAGTATAATTCTTTGAATTGTATTATGACACACTATGTTTTTAGTCTCTTACAAAGTTTTAGAAGCATATCTTCTATGAAGAGATAAGTGTGATAAGGTTTAAATTTACAGTAAGACAATAGATATATATTAACTACAAGTAATTTGTCTTATATAGATGTCTGTACTACTCTTTGGGATTACTCTTCATTTTTGTTCAAGTTGTTGAAAAAAAAACTTCTGTATCTTTCAGTAGCCCATCTTTGTATCAGGTGCTACCCTAGGGGATCTAAGCTTTAGAAGTATACTATATTGTCTTCCTTGTAGTTTTATTACAAACTGCAAATTGAATGTGTTAGATGAGCTATAAAATTGTATTAGACATTGTATTCTAATAATATCTGGTCTATTACTGTTGCTTATATTTCTAGCTGTTCTAGCTTCTAGATTGGTATGGTATAGTATGGTATATTTCCTAGTATAGGTCCCTAAAAAGAAACACTAGGACTACTAGTCTATTGTACAAATACAGGGTAATTTATCTATAATAAAGAAACCACCCTGTCTAGTAATGTTCAGGGAACTACTAATACAATAGACACTCAATGCTTCTCTAACTGTATACCAGAAATGAGACAAAAAGTATATAAGCTTTGAGAGATAAGGGAACATGGGTACACAGGAGAAGTGTAAGATATACTCACTTTACTAGTCCTAATCCTTAGGAATAGTAACAGAATAGAGTATAGAGGGTAAGACTTGTAGACTTGTAGAGTGAGAGGGTAAAGGAGTCCTGCTTTAGTCAAGCTGCAAGTGTAGTCTAGTAGGTTGGTAGTAGAGTACTTCCAAGTACTAGGTAACTTAAGTTAATAAAACTATCTTTTGAGGGCCAAACTGGCCTCCTTATATACCTTTTACTAGAGTAATGTTACTCTAGTGACTTTAGTAACTCCCTTCACTGTTGTTCCTATAAAGTAGAGCTGGCTAATCCTTTAGACTGTATGCTACACTAGTTTGTGTCTTCTATTAATCTGCTGACACTGGTTTGTACTTCTTGTATCCTAGATTAATCTTCTAATGACTCCTTTACTATATTGTTATGTCTTCTATACTTCCTCTCATACTTCTAATGACTCCTTATGAGTCCTCCTAACTAGTTATACTGTGTAAGCTGTGTAATACTTTTCCTATGAAGTGAAGCTCTCTATTGTTCCTATGACTCTGTCTAACTCAACCTATACTTCCTGTACACTGGTTTGTAATACACTTTCTCATAAGGTGGAGTATTATGACTTCTAATGACTCCTTATAACTCTTGTAATATAAAAGGCTGTGCTTCTGTACTGCCCCTAGAACTTACAACCAAAGTTCTAGACTGTCTTGTGTACACCCTAGAACTGACAACCAATGTTCTAAATCTTTTCCTAAGTCTTCTTTAATAGACTTAGTTTAGGAGACAATTATCCTTATTAGCTTCTAGCCTTATCTTTATGCTTCTGTATTCAATCATAGAACTTACAACCAAAGTTCTAGATTGTCTCATGTATTCCTCATATTGTCCTTATATAGTCCTTATGTTTATGACTTTATTACTTTCCTATCTATATGGGCAAAGTGTATAAAGGAGACTACTTTCCTATAGTCTCTCCTCAGAGCTCTCAGTTCCCTTTCCTTCACTAGTACTAGTCCTCCTCAAGCATAAAGCTTCAGAGTATTAGCTCTAACTCTTTCCTAGCTTTAATAGTCCTTTGTCTTTGTACAAAGCATTCCTAGCTAGCTATGTAATTTCTCCTTAAGTAAGTATAATATTTTCCTTTTATCTCTTCAGGTTTTCTCTTAGTCTTTTCCTTTATACTTCTTACTCTAGACACTATACTCTTTCTAGATCCCCTCTCTATACAAGCATTCTAAATGACTTGTCTTTGGTTGAGGTTATCAAGTAATACTGTGCTAGAGTATGTATTTAACCTTAGAGAGATAAAGACCTTGTTCTCAGGTTTTGTTACCTTTTCCTAACTAACTTAGTACCTACTCCTTCCTGTCCCCTCTCTCTACTAATAGATTGATCACCCATTAGTAATAATTAGAGGTTAATAATACTGAGCTAGAGTTCTTACTAAGCAGGACAACAAAGGTAGCCTAGTTGATCTAGCTAATCTCTAGACTTGTGACTAATAGAGTTTTGTATATAAACTACTTGGTTCCAAGTCTTGAGTTAAGTTTTTCCAAACTTAGTTACTATATTTTACAATTCCTAACATCCAGTCCCTCCTAAGTAATACTTTCTTGAACAGTATTACTACTATTGTAAAATACTTACTTTATAATTAATAGGGCTGGGATTTAATTTTGGGTGGGATTTGTGTCCTTCCCCCCTTTCTGTTTCCTTTGTTTTGTGTGTCCTGTACTAGTATCTGTTTCTTT